AATTTCGTATGAAGAATCCTAATAAAAGGATGGGCAGGAGTAGAAGAACCTGGGAATTGCATCAATCATGCTAGCTGGTAGTGTGCATAATTCTGGTAAGAATAGCTAAACGATTTGGCAGATGAGAGATAAAACTGTTGGTACCGGCAAATCTACGGATACCCCTGCACGAAATTTTCACATAAGGCACGAATAAAGGCATTTTGTGATATTTGCTGGATCCCAGAGAGCATATAAAATCTATGATTATGGTTCAGTGAAGAGGGTTAGATCATTATTTTCTATAATGACGAAAGTGAATTAAGCTTGATAGGTTTGGAGATAAGGATGAATCAGAATAAAAGTTTCAAAGCCTTACTAACCGTATGTCGGTGAGGAGACTCTTCCTCTTTGGTCTCGGAGACAGAGACTGACTGTGAACTACCTTCGCCCAGCATGCAGGACGGATCGGCTCCAACGACCAGCCTGCCATCAACCGGGGAGCCGGGCTTCTCCGACTCTTCGAATAGCTTTCCGGGTCCTGATGAATTTGAGTCGGTTTCAGGAGCATGCACCCCGTCGAGAGCAGCTAGACACCGGCTTGAGAAATCAAAGTCCACGTCACCATGACGCCAAGATGGCCCCAACAAATCCTTGGGGTCTGTCGAGTCGTCTAGCCCAGGGGGTGAGAGGGAATCGACTGGTGATGGAGGCTGGTAAGGCATAGTACCTAAAGACACTGGACGTTCTACTGCTCCAGCGCTGGGAAGAGCGACTTCGGCATGGACAGAGACCGACAAGTTTGGATTGGAAGAGGGAATTTCGGGAGCTTCGATCGCGATACGCTGTTCGAGGCGAAGTTGGTCGTACATCTTCTCAAGTGAGGTAATTTTTTGCTTGGCACCGAAAGCATAGAAAGAAAGGAGGATAACGAAGTAATCTATGTACGAGATTGATAGACCCAAAGATAGATTTTCGCATAGAACTAGATAGAAGGAATATAGCCCTTAAAGGGAGAAGAAACTTGACTAATCTTGAACCTAGTTTTGACCCTAAGCTGATAACTGACATATGAACAGTGCATAGGTATAGCCCATAGGCATCCACAAACCGAAAATAAGCGTCAAAATGTAGGGATCAAAGGCTAGGTTTTTCTTATACTTTTCTACATTAACTTCAATGAATATTTAGCATGTAGGGTAGACCTAGGACAGTTAATAAAATCATGGGATGCCTCAATAAAGCGAAAATTTTGGCATAAGAAGTAAGAAGGGTCTCAGCTGGCCACCTT